TCAGTACTATTAAGTACTGAGACAACTCTCCAGCCCTCTTGCCAACTGCTAACTTCAATTATCCAGTCTTTCTTTTGCCTGTAGACTTTTTCTCTTCTATTCCTGTATACTTTTCTGTTTCTTATTCTGTGGCTTGCTGTGTAGCTGGGTGGCTGGCCCCTGATGTCCTCCTCCCCTTGTTCTCTCTTTACTCCTTCCTTTGCCCCCAGATTTCTCCTCATATTTATTCTGCCAGCCAGCCCCACCTATTTCTCTGTTCTGCCTCCATATTGGCGGTTCCCTCAATATTGGCCATTCTGCTCTCTACTACACCATCCCATGTTTTAGACAGGCACAGTAACAGAGCCTCACAGAGTTAAACAGATGCAGCATAAACAAAAGTAACACACCTTAAAATAATATCCCCCCAACAACTGTACATGTGTGTGTGTGTGTGTGTGTGTGTGTGTGTGTGTGTGTGTGTGTGTGTGTGATTTTGAGATAAACTTGCTTTCTGTAGCTCAAGCTGGCCTGGAACTCAGCTAGACACCCTTAGACACCCAAATGCTGGTATTTACTAAAAGGATCTCTTCCTGGCTTTGTTTGTTGGGGTTGTTTTTAGACAGAGTCTCTCAATGTAGTTCTGACGGTCTTGAAGCTCTATATAGACCAGGCCTTCCTTCAACATTCTGGGATTAAAGGCATATGCATCTTAGGCTGGCCTCAGATTCACTGTATAGTAGAGGATGGCCTTGAACTGTTTTTTAAAGAGGGGTCTTTGTCTTCATGCACATTGCACACCAGAAGAGGACATTGGATTGTATAGAGACTAGTTATAGAAGGTTGTGAGGTGGTATATGTACTGGGACTTGAACCCAGGACCTCTAGAAGAGCAGCCAATGCTCCAGTACTGAAATCTCTTCTGCCCCCCCCCCCCCTTGATGTTTCGAGACAGGGTTTCTCTGTGTTGTTCTGGCTGCCCTGGAACTTAATCTGTAGAGCCTGTGTCACCACTGCTGGCACCCATGGGACTTTAAAAACTAGTTTCATGATCTTTGCCCCAGACCAATTGACTCATAATTTCCAAGGACAAGACACAGAATTCTAATTGCTTTGACATATTTGGATAAAGCTGTAAATATTTTAAAGCAATAGAACGGGAACCCTTGCTTTTCCTCTGAAGACTCATTTTGCTAATACTTTAAAAGCTAGTGAAAAGATAAGGTGACAAATGGGTTCCAATGACAAGGGCTGAGTCCTAATAATGTGCTCAGAAATGCTTCTCAATGCATTCATCTGTTTAATCCCTACAGCCCTGTGAGTGGGTTCCTTTTTTCTTTTTTGGGGGGTGAGGTGGGGTGAGGTGGGGTGAGGTGTGTGTTTTGAGACAGGGTTTCCCTGTGGCTTTGGAGGCTGTCCTGGCACTCGCTCTTGTAGACCAGGCTGGCCTCGAACTCACAGAGATCTGCCTGCCTCTGCCTCCCGAGTGCTGGGATTAAAGGCATGTGCCACCAATGCCTGGCCAAACATTTTAAAATTAACATTAAACCTCTGATTTTTTTTGGGGGGGGGTTGAGACATGGTTTCTCTGTGTAATAGCCTTTGGCTGTCTTGGAACTTGCTTTGTAGACCAGGCTGTCCTTGGACTCACAGAGATCCATCTGCCTCTGTCTCCCTCCCTGGTGGGATTAAAGGCCCAAGACCCCAGCTGCCCAGCTATGAGTGGTTATTTTTAAAAGCAGTTGTGGGATTGGGCAGAACATTAAAGTCTTGGGGCAAAAAGGTTTTCCCCCCCCCCCCCCCGCCACCCCCGCCACATATCAGAAATAGCAAAATTGAAGGCTGCTTTCATTTGATGTGCTAATAAAAACAAGAACTTTCTGGCTACAGGCAGTGGTGGCGCACACCTTTAGTCCCAGTACTTGGGAGGCAGAGGCAGGCAGATATCTGTGAGTTCAAGACCAGCCTGGGTTATAGGAGCTCACTGCAGGACAGCCTCCAAAGCCACAAAGAAACCCTGTCTTGAACAGCCCCCCCCCCAAGAACCTTCTGACCTACACACACACACACACACACACACACACACACACACGCACAGGCACATGGTTCATGGCCATACCCACAAATAAATCAATCTAATTTACTTAGAGACTGGGTCTATGTAGTCCTGGCAATCTGGGAACTCAAATGATCCTCCTATCTCTGTCTCCCAAGTGCTGGGAGTATGAGCCATCACGCCATGATTGGACTACCTGTTTATGTCCTACCTAGATCTTTTTTTTTTTTTAAAGATTTTATTTATTTATCATGTATACAGTCTTATGCCTGCATGCCAGCAAAGGGCACCAAATCTCATTCAAAGTGGTTGTGAGCCACCATGTGGTTGCCGGGAATCGAACTTAGGACCTCTGGAAGAGCAGTCAGTGCTCTTACCCGTTGAGCCATCTCTCCAGCCCCTACTTAGATCTTTTAAAGAAGTAAATCTTTTTAATGGTTTATGTGCATTGTGTTTTGCCTGCATGTATGTCTGTGTGAATGTATCAGATTCCTGAGTCACAGAGAGTTGTGAGCTGCCACATGGGCTGGGAATTGAACCTGGGTCCTCTGGAAGAGCAGCCAGTGCTCCTAACAGTTTTCCAGGCCCCAATCAATAACCTGTTTCCCAGGTGGCTAAGAGCACTAAATGTAAAGCAATTTGAAAAGTACTATGTTACAAAATAGGTACTTAACAAAGATACTTGCTCTACTTTCCAGAAGGTGTGCAGGGGAATCAACCAAATACCTGGAAAAAAAGCAAATCACCAATCTTTTGATTTTGATGAGATGGAAATCAGATAATCAAAACTAAAAATTACATGTGGAAGAGGTGACTTCAGAGAAAAATTCATGGCTTTAAGGACTTACATTCCAAGGATCAAACAATAAAAGTACAGAGAATAAACATTCAGTATAAGGTCAACTCTCTATTTCAAACAAGCAGCTATTAATGAGCACACTGGAATGATAACAGCAAACAGTGAACAATGCAAAAAGATAGACAAGGTGGGAATGTTTAAGTATGCTCAGGCCTTGATGAAATTATAAGAGGTACATGACCTCAACAACTATGTCCACTTCAACATTAGGTATCCTAGAAAAGACTGTGCTAAGTGTTATGTGGCTGGGTAAAGTTAATTCTTGTTTTTTTTTTTCTTCCCCCTTTTAAGACAAGATTTCTTTGCGTAGCCTTGGCTGTCCTTGAACTAGTTGTGTAGACCAGGCTGTTCTTGCATTTTATCCTAGTAGCTTGTTAAAAGCTGCTTTTCCTAGTGTCAGAAATACATGATGGCCTTTCTCTAACTCTGTCCCCATGCCAGTCACCAGCCCTAGAACCCCAAGTGTTAGAGCCCCTTCCTGCATGCTGGAGCGCCACAGGATCTCACACCTGAAGACATAAGCCTTGTGCCTGCCTGCCCACGCCTCTTGCTAGTAGTCCGAGATGCTCACCTTTACTGCATAGCTAAGGATCTCTGGGTTTTCACCTTACCTAAGTCCATGAAGGTCAATGAACCCAGGATGTGTTACACCTCAGAGTGAAGAATGGGTGGTTAACAACAGAGCAAAAGACCTCTTGCAGAAACCACAGGGGATGAGTGAGTTTGGGCAATGAATATGAGGCTAACCAGACCATGACTGGAGAACCAGTAAACTGTCCACTCACACTCACCCCGAGGACATGCAGGCTGAAGATGCACTTGCCAGCACAGGTGCAGTTCAGGAGTAGACAACAGTCAAGGAGCAATTCTAGGGGCTTGTAGCTCCCATGGAATTGGTTCTAGTCTTGGGTCAGATGAAGTGTTGGACTGCTGAAGGTTCTCTGAGAACCTGGAATGAGTTCCCTGCTCCTGAATGATGGTCAGATACTGCCTGTTTAAACTTCTTCCCTTTACTCTTTTTTTTGGGGGAGTGGTGGAGGGGGCTCAAGACAGGGTTTATCTGTGGCTTTGGAGTCTGTCCTGGAACTAACTCTTGTAGACCAGGCTGGTCTCGAACTCACAGAGATCCTCTTGCCTCTGCCTCCAGAGTGCTGGGACCAAAGGTGTGCGCCACCACAGCTCCACTCTTCCCTATACTCTTTAAAATGAGGCAGCTAGGTAAGAGACCCAAAGCTGAACCCAGCTTTGCTAAAATTCTACTTCCCAGCCCTCCTTCCTCTTGGAATGCGCTAAAACAGATATTAAAGGGTCACCACTGCCTAGTCCTTCACCCTGTATTTCAAACCTTAAGCTCAAAGCCACTCCATGTCTCTACCAGTACACAATAAGCTGGGCAGTGGTGACGCATGCCTTTAAACCCAGCACTCAGGAGGTTGAGGTAGGTAGATCTCTGTGAGTTCAAGGCCAGCCCGGTCTACAGAGCTAGTTCCAGGACAGTCAAGTGTACATGAAGAAAACTTGTTCTGAAAAACCAAAAGAAGAAAAAAGAAAGCTAAGTTCCATTGGACTCCAGAGTCCTAATTCTCTGCTGTATCTCCAGTACTTACAATAGTAGCTGGTACATGGTATGTAGTAGCTGCTCAGTAATTGTGTTAAATATACATGTGCCGGGGCTGGAGAGATGGCTCAAAGGTTAAGAGCACTGACTGCTCTTCCAGAGGTCCTGAGTTCAATTCCCAGCAACCACATGGTGACTCACAACTAGCAGTGACTCCCAACCATCCGTTATGAGATCTGGTGCCCTCTTCTGGTGTGCAGATATACATGGAAACAGAGTGTTGTATACATAATAAATAAATAAAATCTTTAAAAAAAACATTAAAAAAATATACATGTGCCTTAACACACAGTCTGTCAAGAGGAGAAAAAGAGGTAAAATTAGGTAGGTCAAAAAAAAAAAAAAAAGTAGGTAGGTCACAGGAGCTCACAAATTCAAGACTAGCCCAGGCAACATACTAAGACTATCTCTAAAGAACAAACAACAAACAAAACTTTATTAGGATTCCAATAAAAACACAAACTTCTTTTGAGTTTGAAGTTACAAGTCTATGTATGTATTTTCATTTGACTAATAAACTTTTCCACAATCCCATCGAGTCTTTCAGGCTCCATCAATTTATTTACCAGTTCTTGTTCAACTGCCATCAGAGCCAGGCCAGTATATTTCTCTTGTCCCATGGTACGAAGTAAGTATTTTTTAAGATGAGGCAGTGTGGAAAATGACTTTTCATTATTTGTTGAAGTAATTGGCCAAGATAAAGCAATATGTAACAGTTTCGAGATACAAGGAATATTATTGTGGAGACCATGCTGGCTAAATAAACAGCCAAGGTCAACGAAGCTTAAAGATCCATAATCTGTAACAAAATTGAGATTTGCATACTGCCGGTAAAATCTAAGTTCAGGGATAATGTCTGCATCAAGCTTATAAAATTCTTGAACATGTTTTGCTGCTGCTTCATCTAAGGGTTCATTCCATTTAAACAATAGCTCTGAAATTTGTTTCATTTTGCAATAGTCAAACTCTGAAAAACATAACTTTAAATTTTTTAATACACTATCCAAACCTTGGTAATAAACATTAATTTTATAGTGTTCATGTGCTGCAGTAGGACAAAACATACTCTCCAAGTTGCCAGGATCTACTGTTTTCTGAATTTTTCTTCTTTTTTGAAAGGCGGGCTTTTCAACTTCAAAACCCTTACTGGTAATTTTTTTACATATTTCAGCTGCTCCATCCCAGATACTCTTGAAATACATGTCACTCCTTTCAGAAGATAAACATTCCAAAATTGCTTCTATTTTTGAAAACAAAGAAAAGATGTCCACAGTTTCACTCTGAAACTCTCTAGAAAGAATTCCTGTAATACTAAGTACTCGATAAAGAAATTTCAAACAGAATATAAATTCAAACTTGGTAACCACCACCAACAGATCATTCAGTTGGTCAGCCACAGCTGTGCCTGAGGAATGTCGAGACACTGCATTCAGTGTCTCAATGATCTCTGGAAGACATTCTGTCACAGACAGTAACAAGTGATCGTGGGCTGTCCAGCACGTCTGTGATGTGTGTTTTTTACAGGTTTTATTTTGACTTAGTTTGCACCTGGTTTGCAAAGTTGCCAACATTTCTCCTGACATACGAACAGTGTTGAACAAAGAACTAAGAGCATTTAGTGTACTCCGGAGTTCTTTTACTTCTTTACAAAAACTAATGACTGCTAATTCAAAAAAATGTGCGTAACAATGTACATATAAAGCTCGTGGCTCTTCCTTCTTCAATTCTGTTACAACTTCATTAAATTTTACTCTCAAATTCGTGGCACTATCATAGGCTTGACCACATATCTTATTAAAATCAATCCCGACCTGCTGGAGGTAAGCTTTGATATGCTTGTGTACAGGGACTGCAGCCATCTTCTCAATATTAACAAACCCCAGGAACCTTTCTTTAACAAGAACAGCACTTGAGGTTTTTTGTGGGTATCTCACACACACTGAAAGCTGTCCTTTAGTGGCAATATCGGTTGTCTCCTCACATATTACTGAAAAAGCTGAGGAGACATTGATCTCACTCACAATGTCTTGCAAGATTTCAGCCTGTATTATTTCAATAATCTCCTCCTGGACTTGGGTACTACAATAGAAGTCAACATGTGAACTCATGCGCCGAAACACTTCTCCTCCTTTATCTCTTGCTCTAATTTCTAGTAATTCCAAAAAATTGCCTTTATTAATGGATGAGATAGACTGGTCATTTCCTTTTAGGAGCAAACACTGTTTTCCAAGAAATAAGATGTTTTCAATGATGAGCTTTAGGTACCTTTTATTTCCCTCAACACGTTTTGAATAAACAGATGAACCATCACGTGGCATTTCATCCAGAAAGTGGTACTGTCTCCAAAACTTCAGTGACTTTAAATGCATTTCACTTTCTTCATGCTTCCTGAATTTTTCTAGCATTTTCTCCCAGTCAGCAGTTCCTTGGGGTGCAAATGATTGTCTCTGGCAGCTAAAATTTTTCTGGTAGAACAAGTGGCAAGAATAGCAGAATGCAACATCATTCCTAGTACTGTGGTTCAAATGCTGAGAACCTGAGCGCCAAGATTTTCTAATACTTTGTGATTCTTTTTTAACTTTTTGCACTGTGGATGTAGACTTTGGATAACAAGGTCTATCATTTACTTCCATAGATTCTATGTTGTGTCCCTGCTTTGACCTACTGTTGTTCTGTGCTTCCACACTGGGACCAGCTGTGTCTTCAACGTGCACTGATGAAGACAGGAGAAACCTTGGCTGTTCCACACTATTACCAACACTACTACTGGATTCACTGGGTGAGTTCTTAGGACAAAAATGATAAAATAACAATTGTTTAAGTATTTTCAAATAATAAAAATACCACACAAACTGTAGTATAAACTTCTCTATGAGAGACATTAACAATTATTATTCACCATGTAGATTCAGCACTGATGTTTAAAGGAGCTCTAGGTATAAAATGCAGAAAAATATTTTTTTTTTTTTCCCTCAAGACAGGGTTTCTCTGTGCAGCCCTGGAACTTTAACTTTCTCTGTAGACCATGCTGGCCTCGAACTCACAGAGTTCTGCCTGCCTTTGCCTCCCAAGTGCTGGGATTAAAGGTGTGCTAGAAAAAAAAAATTATTACTCAGATGAGTAGAAATATTTACTCAAAAAGGAAGCTAGGCATGGTGGCACTCACCTTTAAATCTAGCACTTTAGAGGCAGAGGAAGGCAGATCTCTGCAAGTTCAAGGTCAGCCAGAGTTACACAGTGAGATCTTGTCTAGGGCTGGGGAGATGGTTCAGTGGTTAAGAGCACTGACTGCTCTTGTAGAAGACCCAGGTTCAATTGCCAGCACCCACATGGCAACTCACAATTGTCTGTAACTCCAGTTCCAGGGAATCTGACATCCTTACATACATGCAGGCAAAACACCAGTGCACATAAAAGAAAAATTAAAAAAAAAGAAAAAGAAATAAGAAAAACTCAGAGAAAAATGCAACAATACTTTAAAATTTGTTTCTATTTTTAATTTTATTTTTTGTTGTTGTTGTGCATGGTGTTTTACCTGCATGAATGTCTGTGCACTACTTATGTGCCTGTTATTTGCAGAGTCAAAAAGAGGGCTTCTCGGATCCCCTGGAACTGGAATTACAGATGGTTGTGGGCTATCATGAGGCTGTCTAGGAACTAAACTCAGGTCTTCTAAGGCAGTAGTCAGTGCTCTTAACTGCTAAGCCATCTCTCCAGCTACAATACCTTATAGCATATATAAAAATGTATCAACAGAGCTAGGTGGTGGTGGCACAAGCCTTTAATCCCAGAACTCAGGAGGCAGAGACAGGCAGATCTCTGTGAGTTCGAGACCAGCCTGGTCTACAAGAGCTAGTTCCAGGACAGCCTCCAAAGCCATAGAAAAACCCTGTATTGAAAAACAAAAACAAAAACAAAAAAAAAAAAAAGAAAAAAAATGTATCAACAGTCAGTTGGCATGCCTTTAATCCCCAGCACCCAAGGGTGGAGGGTGGAGGGGAAGGTCCAAACTGGAGACTGGAGAGATGGCTCAGAGGTTAAGAGCACTGACTGCTCTTCCAGAGGTCCTGAGTTCAATTCCCAGCAACCACATGGTGGCTCACAAGCATCCATAATGAGATCTGGCGCCCTCTTCTGGCACGGAGGCAGAATGTTGTATACATAATAAATAAATAAATAAAATAATAAATAATAATAAATAAAATCTTAAAAAAAAATCCCCAGCACTTGGGAGGCAGGTTCAGATCTCAGAACCTAGTCTACAAAGTGGCTTCCAGGACAGGTAGGGATGTTACAGAGAGAAGCCTTGTGTCAAACAAACAAAACATATTACTAAGTAAATTAAAAAAAAAAAAAATGTAAAAGAGCTGAGTGGTGGTGGCACATGCCTTTCATCTCAGCACTTGGGAGAAGAAGCAGGTGAATCTCCGAGTTCAAGGCCAGCCTGGTCTACAGAGTCATTTCCAGGACCGCTAGGATTACACAGAAAAACCTTGTCTCAACAAACAAATGAACAAACAACTATCTATGTATGAAAACACAACACACACATTCCTGTTTAAAACTGAAAAGAACTAGGCTAAAACTTACTTGTATAATGACATTTGTAGGAATAGAAGAAAGTGAACCTGTTGAAATAAAGCATATATTCAAGATTTCATACTTTAATAGTACCAAAATCTCATGCAGCTTATTTCCTATCAAGAAACAGACAGACAGAGTCAACAATATGACAAAACATTGTTTATATCAAATGTCTATTTACCTTGTAAGAGATCAGCGTTCATGAGCAGGCCAACATGATCATTTACTAATGACATTATATTACTTATAACTGGAATTGGATATTTCCTTGAAGAAAGATTTCCTTTTGAAGCTTTGTGTACCATGGAAACATTTACTGACAAAAGTAAACAAAAATCCTTGTTATAATCCAGGCAGAAACCAAAGTACGATTTAATAGTGTTTTTGTGCTGAGGGTTATAAATCAGTTGGAGAATGCTTGCCTAGCATACAGTCTAAATGCATCATCACACCTTATCCAGTAGTGGGCATGGAACACAGGGCTTCATGCATGCTGAGCAAGTACTCTGACAATTGAACTACATTACCAGTCTGTTTGGATTTTTGTTTGGTTGCTTGTTTAAGACAAGGTTTCTCTGTATAGCCCTGGCTGTCCTGGAACTTACTCTGTAGACCAGGCTGGCCTCTAACTTAAGAGATCTGTCAGCCTCTGCCTCCCAAGTGTTTAGATTAAAGGCATGCACCACCACTGCCCTTGGAACTTTTTTTTTCTTTTGTAAATAAAGATTTATTTGTGAGGTGAATGTTATTACATGGATGCTGGAATCTGAACTTGATCCTCATAATTGAGCAGAAAGCAGTATTTTTTTTTTTAAAGATTTATTCATCACATATAGTGTTCTGAATGTATGTGTGCTTGCAGGCCTCAAGAGGGCACCAGATCTCATTACAGATGGTTGTGAGCCACCATGTGGTTGCTGGGAATTGAACTCAGGACCTCTGGAAGCAGGCAGTGCTCTTAACCCAAGTCATTTCTCCAGGCTCCAGCAAGCATTCTTGCTGCTAAGCCATCTATCCAGTATTCACTTGGAATTTTAAGTCACTCTAATATGGAAATTAGTCAGTTATAAATTAAAAGCAAAGTGTGTCTGTGTCTCCCAGTACTTAGTAGAACTTTGGAGTTGTTGGGTATTACCTGTCGAAGATTCCATCACGGCACTGTTGTATGAAGAAAAACAAACAGAGCAGAAAACCTCTATGTTCCCCAAGTCATTAGTAATCACAATCATCTCATCTGAGAGTTTCAGTGTTTTGCAAGGAAAAGATCTAAGTATTCTGGGTGGTTTCTGTTTAGAAATTAAAAATAATATTCATATTTCTGGTATATCACATGCAGCGCTAAAAACATTAAGCATACCTACTGTAATTGCTTTTAACTGAAATATACAAACAATAGCAATTTTTTATACTTCCTTAGAAACAATAAGACAGTAGAAGTTGCAACAACAAAACAAAGCAATTTGCAGTTTATCAGAAACTATCCATCATTTAATAGTAATAACACATATGCAATGAAAAAAAAGGTCATAAAAGAGGTTTATTATCCCAGACAACTAAAGCCTATTGAATAAGAACACATGTATAATTATAGTTTCCTTTTTTTTTTTTTTAAACTCAGTACATCATCCTTGATCATGACCTCAAGAAAACCTTCTGCCAGGTCTAAGGAGTCAGAAAAGGCTAAACTATTTGAGATACTGAGGCAATAAGTGTTTCTCTAGGACAGTGGCTCCCAACCTTCCTAATGCTGCAACCCTTTAAAACAGTTCCTCATGTTGTGGTGACCCCCAACCATAAAATTATTTTGTCGTTACTTCATAACTGTAATTTTGCTGTTTTGAATTGTCATGTAAATTTCTGATACACAGAATATCTGATATGGAACCCTCAATGGGGTCATGAACACAGTTAAAAACCACTGCTCGAGGTTAACTTCATGGTAAAGATTCACAAGCATAGGCAGAGATATACCTGTCTGTACGTGTGCCTCCCAAGTGCTGGGATTAAAGGTGTGTGCCATCTGTGCCGCTGCTGCCACTCCCACCCGCACCACCCTGCAGAAGAGGGCACCAGATTTTATTGCAGATGGTTGTGAGTCATCATGTGGTTGCTGGGAATTGAACTCAGGTCCTCTGGAAGAGCAACCAGTGCTCTTAACCTCTGAGCCATCTCTCTGGTGGCCTTTAACTGCAGCACTCAGGAGGCAGAGGCAGGTGGATCTCTGTGAGTTAGAGGTTAGCCTAGTCTAAAAAGCCAGTTCCAGGACAACTAAAGTGGTTACACAGAGAAATGCTGTCTTGAGGAAAGAAAAAAAAAAGAAAGAAAGAAAGAAGGAAAAAAAACAGAAACAAAAACAAAACAAAACAAAACAAAAAAAGAATCCCAAACATAAACTGGGCGTTGGTGGCGCAGGCCTTTAATCCCAGCACTCAGAAGGCAGAGGCAGAGGCAGGCGGATCTCTGTGAGTTTGAGACCAGCCGGTCTACAAGAGCCAGTTCCAGGACAGCCTCCAAAGCTACACAGAGAAACCCTGACTCGAAAAACCCAAGGGGGGAAAAATTATTGTGTATACAGTGTTCTGCCTGCATGTATCCCTATGTGCCAGAAGAGGGAACCAGATCTCATTACAGATGTTTGAGAGCCACTATGTGGTTGCTGGGAATTGAACTCAGGACCTCCGGAAGAACAGCCAATGCTCTTAACCTCTGAGCCAGCTCACCAGCCCCAGTTTCATGTTCTTTGTTTTTTGTTTTTGCTTTTACGAGACAAGGTTTCTCTGCATTACTTTGGAGGCTGTCCTGGAACTCACTCTGTAGACCAGGCTGGCTTCAAACTCACAGAGATCCACCTGCCTCTGCCTCCCAAGTGCTGGGATTAAAGGTGTGGGCCACCAACTCCCGGCCAGTTTTATGTTCTTAATGGTATTGGGAGGTAGGCTAAGCACTCTCTTTAAGTGTAACACGATTGAGGGGTGTTTTTTCTTTTTTCTTTTGGTTCCTAGCAGTCTTATTCCACATTGAAATAATTCCCTTCTAAAGTTAACAGGGCTCATACTCCCATAGAGCACTTGCCCATTCGTGAACTGTGTTCCCCTATCATGATTAGAATAAGACTGTCCCAGCAATTGGAGGTTTACTCCTTGTGCAGGTGAATAATGCACCTGTCACTGTTTTTATTTGCACACACCCACCAGGATTTAAATCCTTCTGCTTTTTCCCTCAGGGTTTTTTGTTTTTTTTTTTTTCCCCCTTCATATAGGGTTTCTCTCTATTGCTTTGGAGCCTGTCCTGGAATTAGCTCTGTAGACCAGACTGGCTTCAAACTCACAGAGATCCACCTGCCTCTGCCTCCCGAATGCTGGAATTAAAGGCATGGGCCAGCAACACTCGGCTGTTTTGTTTTGATACAGGGTTTCTCTGTGTAGTTCTAGTCATTCTGGAACTCACTTTGTAGACCAAGCTGGCCTAGAACTCCAAGATCTATCAATTTGCCACTGCCTCTTGAGTGCTGGGATTGAAGGCATGTGCAACCAATGACCCACTTAAAAAAAAAAAAAAAAAAGATAGGGTTTCACTATGTAGCCCTGACCTGGAACTTGGTAAACTTGATGAGATCCACCTGCCTCTGACCCTCAACTACTTGGATTATTACTAGATCACAGAGCTTCACATAGCAATCAAGATATGTATTAGTCCTAATTCACAGACAGGATCAGACCAGTAATTGTGTTCATCTCATTTAGTCCACCACAGCATGGCTAGCCTCTCTAATCTCAGAAGCACCCAAAGGTTCTCCTATAGGAACTGTAAAAGTCTTTTTCATTTTCATCAACTATCAAAGAGCTCCCCAATGATAGCAAACCAGAGATTACCTGGTGGAGGGAATAGCAACTCTTTCTGCTCCCCTGTTTCTATGCACTAGTATTCTCTGCATTATTTAGTATGGAGACTGCACTCCACCTGAGTATGTGTGTAGAACAGACTACAGTCCATGTAACAGTAAGTTCCACAGTTCTTACATCAATTCATAATCATGCTGGCAGCAGAATAAAAATCTGAAAAGTAGGTATTACTCAAAGACTAAAACAACAGAACCAACGACATTTAAACTGAATCCTTAGAACCCTTCTAAATGTTGAAGGTCACCCACACTTACAGTAGATGTCTTCTGACACATGCTGCACCTCAGCAAAGTGCTATCAGTACACATGGCAATGCATGGACTTCTTTTCTCTTCATATGATAAAAGGCAAGATTGGCTACAAAAGTTTTTGTTGCAGCTACTGTCCTTCAACTGGACATTCTTCATATCCTTCAGATTTAAAATGTCTCTAAAACAACAACAAATGCTTGTTAATAGGATGATAAATATATGAAGTAACTCATGAGTTTTGTGTGCACATGAGGGGACCAGAGCAGAATACTAGGTATCTTCCCCTCTTGCTTTCTATATTGTCCTGACCCATGCTAGAACTGGGAGCTAGAGTCACTATTTTGGCTAGTTAGGCAGTGAGCTCTTGGGATCCTTCTGCCATGCATTCACTGTAAAACAAAATATGCCAATTTAGTTTCAGAAATTAAGGATATTATTAATAAAACAATATTTTCAAGTTATTTCAATATGAACCTTGATAATCCCTAGCACCCACATGGAGCCTACAACTGTCTATAATTCCTGTTTCAGGAGATCCAGTGCCCTCTTCTGGATCCAGGGGCAATGCATACACTAGGTACACAGACACATAAGCAGGCAACACCCCCCCACCCCCCCACAAAATTGGAAGGTATTCTGTGACTGTCCTAGTTTGCTACTACTGCTGTGATAAAGGCCATGACCAAAAGCAACTCACTGAGGAAAGGATTTATTTCTGCTTACAACTTTCAGGTCATAATCCATCACTGAAGGAAGTCAGGGCAGGAACTGAAGTAGAGGCCACAGAGGGATGCTGTTTACTGGCTTGCTGTCAACCTGCTTTCTTAGACAACACAGGACCACCTGTCCAAGGGTGGTGCCACCCACAGTGGGATGGGCCCTCCCACATCAATCATTGATTAAGAAAATGCCCTTGTCTACAGGCCAATTTGATGGAGGCATTTTCTCAATTGAAGTTCCTTCTTCCCAGATGACCCTAGCTTGTGTCAAGCTGACAGAAAACTATCAACACGGTCATAAAATGGGACATAAAGCACTTTGTTCTGTCTATCAGTGGTAGACTACTGCCTCAAGACAAAGTCTATATAGGAAATTTGAGTTGCAATCTTAGCCATCTTTTTCACAAAACATTTTTATTTGAACATATGCTAAACTACAGCCCAGAAGTGGACATCGGGCAGCTATTTTCTTGAAAATGAAGAAAGGGGCGCTGGAGAGATGGCTCAGAGGTTAAGAGCACTGACTGCTCTTCTAGAGGCCCTGAGTTCAATTCCCAGCAACCACATGGTGGCTCACAACCATCCGCTATGAGATCTGGTGCCCTCTTCTGGTGTGCAGATATACATGGAAGCAGAATGTTGTATCCATAATAAATAAAATCTTAAAAAGAAAATGAAGAAAGGCTGCCATTTCAAGGAAAACAACTCACAGTATTTACCATTGAGCTTGTAAGTAAAAGTTCTTGTCATTTGTAGCTTAATCAATTCTTTTTTTCCTCTATTTATTATTATTATTATTATTATTATTATTATTATTAATTCAAGTTAGGGAACAGGCTTGTTTCACATGTATTTCACCTCTCCCTTTCCCTCCCCTCACTCCCATTCCTTCTCCCCCAGCTTAATCAATTCTTAAGATTTGAAGGCTTTTCTGGTGAAATTGGTGGTAATTTTTAAAATACTTTCTAGCTCTAACTCTGCCATGGATTTTTGTTTTGTTTTGTTTTGTTCAAGACAGGGTTTCTTTGTGTAACTGCCCTAGATGTCCTGAAACTAGCTCTGTAGACCAGGCTGACCTCCAACTCACAGAGATCTGCCTGCCTCTGCCTCCCGAGTGCTGGGATTAAAGGCGTGCACCACCACCATCCAGCTTGTCATGGGTTTAATTTTCCACGGTAGATAAGCATATAAAAATATATCTGGGGACTGGAGAGATGGGTCAGCATTTAAAGAGCACTGGCTGCTCTTTCAGAGGACCTCAGTTCAATTCCCAGCACCCACATGACAGCTCACAACTAACTGTAACTCCAGTTCTAGGGGATCTGACAACTTTACACCAATGCACATAAAATAATGCTAAATTATTAAAAAAGAAAAAAATATAGCTTACAGTAAAAGTATAAAACCCAATGGGAAGTTCCACAGCTTCTGTTTTCAATTGTTTCTCCAACTGTATACAAGTTCACTGAGTTGTACAGTCTTTGGGTCTGGTTAATTTTGGTATGTGATTTTTTTTTGAATATAATAAAATTTAAAATTCAAAAAGAAAAGGGAAAAAAAGCTAACTATGTTAGAGGGACCCTTACAGTTAACTAAAAATAACTGAGTACAGGTGTGAATTGGGTGGTATAAATAAATTAAACATTAGTGAATAGGCCTATTTTGAACTGGAATGACTGTCTTCAGAATTTCTTTTTGTTTCTAATACTGAAGTGTGGAAATGATGCTTCTTAAACGAATCTTAATTCAATAACAAGTCTCCTGTTTGTAATAGTATTTTAAACATCATCTTCAAAGTCGTACTTCATTAAGTATTAATAAAAAGAAAATAAATCATAGCTTAAAAAAAGGCCTGAAAAATGATTTAAATTTTTGGGATTACAACTGTGGCTGTGGTGGTGTATGCCCTTAATTCCAGCACTCAGGAGGCAGAGGCAAGAGCATAGTTTTGGTTCCAGGACAGCCTGGTCTATAGAGTGAGTTTTAAGTCAGCCAGGAAACCCTGTCTCAAAGGAACGAAAGAAAAAAAAGATGTTACGGAATGTGAAATGTTTACAAATCTCTATAAGGGATCTAGAGAGAAGGTTCAGTGGTTAAGAACACTGGCTGCTCTTTCAGAGGACCTGGGCTCATTCCCAGCAACCACATGTTGTTTCATAACCATCCATAACTACAGCTCCAGGGAACCCAATGTCTTATTCTGATTGCATACAGGCCAACATGTATTGCACATACATACATGCAGGCAAAACACTTAAACATGCAAAATAAGATAAATCTAAGAAGTCTCAATAAAAACATAGATCATTACTATGAATAATGATGGCCTCTTCTAGTCTAAGCATGACTACCATCTCTCAACCGATTTACAATTTCTAGTAAATGTATATATATATAAATTTTTTTTCCAGAGGAAGCTAAAGTTGTCTCCTATTTCTGCTCATACCTGATTGTTATGCTTTAAAAGAACAACTTACACAGTAAATTCTTTCTTGCATGAGTCATTTTCAACGCCCGTGACATGTAGCAAAGCTGGGGCTGAAGAAATGGAGTGCATATATGCTAAACATAGCAACAGAGTGTCTTAACGTCTCAGGGTCTCAGTTTCCTCAAAACCAAAAGAAAAGGTCTGCATTGGGTGATCTCTAATGTCCCTTCCAGGCTTATGATTCTGCAGAAAGAGAAAGCAGGCTGAAGAGAGTGTCCTGGAACCCACAGCTAGAAGGAAAACCAGCGACAGATATAGTACAATACTGTAGGATTGACAAAGCAAAGAGAGGGCTTGGAAAGGTGGCACAGAAGTTAAGGGCACTGACTGCTGTTGCAGAGGACCTGGGTTTGATTTCTAGCAAACCACATGGTGGCTCACAACTGTCTGTAACTCCAGTTTCAAGGGATCAAATACTCTCTTCTAGCCTCTGTAGGCCCCGGGCATGCATATACTGCACAAACACACAAAACACTCATACACAAAACAAAATAAACAAGCCTTAAAAATAAAAAAGGAGGGAAAAGAAAAAGCAAAGATAAAGTTAAGGAAACCTCCAGAAAATAGTACCTGAAACAAAAGACAACATTAAAAGCATCAGCCAAGTAAGGAATTGAATCAATCCTATACCAAGGGTTTGTAAGCCTATTAAAATAAGTGCAGGTAGCCCAACGTGGTGGCACACACCTATAGTCCCAGCACTTGGAAAGCAGAGGCAGGACGAACTTTGTGAGTTCAAGTCCAGCCCGCTCTACACAGTGAGCTCCAGGCTAGCCAAAGGCTAGTAAGACCCTGTCTCAAAACAAAACAAGAAACCCTATGGGAATTGGCAGCAAAGATGAGAAAATAATCTTGAGAGTTGAGTCCCTGACTCAAAAAAAAAAAAAAAAAAAAAAAGGTGCAGATGACATACCACATCCACATTCTGAGCACTGAAAACATACTAATTAATGCTCATAATTCTCACATTTATTTAACAAAACAAAAAAAATGAAACAAAGAAGTTCTCAATGCTTCTCCACCCTTCCCTGTAATGTCTGTAAACCTCAACAACCACCAAAACTACTTCTGAGTGATCTATTAAAGGAACTGGAAGCAGAAGCAAATTCTTCTCACTAAGGAGACACATCTTCAGAGAAGATGAAAATATATAAAACTGTGACCAAAACTCTGACCAAGATCCATGTAGCAAAATAAAACACATAATTTAGGATTACATACCTTGAGCAGTTTAAGCACATCCTCTTGATGGGAGCTGGTGAGATGGTGGATGAAGTGTACTCATTGATGCAGAGTCTGGAGCAGAAGAGTTCAGCAGACCCTTTCTTCTGATACGCAGTCTGCCCCTCCTGTAACACTCTTTTACAACCGTAACAGGAAAGCTGGACAGCTGTGGCTGGAACTGCAGGAAGCATTTTATTCATGCTAGGTGATGCCAGAAGGCTGAAGGTCAGTAGTAGACTGTGGAGCTTTAGGAAGAAAACAGAATTCTCATTTACACGTGTATGCACCCATTTAGTTTAGAGGTTACTTCTAGACATGAAGCCCAACACAGAAAGTAGATAGACTAGCTGGGCAGTGGTGGTACACACCTTTAATCCCAGCACTTGGGTGGCAGAGGCAGGTAGATCTCTTGAGTTTGAGGCCAGACTGGTCTACAGAACAAGTTCTAGAACAGCTAGGGCTATGAAGAGAAGGCCTGTCTCAAAAAATCAAAATACAATAAACAAAACAATAACAACAAAAACCCACTAATAACCAAAAAGAAGATAAACAAAATTACCTATTTTATTGATCAAGAAAAGTTATGATTAGTTCTATTACCAGTGTCTGAAAATGGAGTTTCTTTTCTCCTAAATTTTGGGTTGCTGGGTTGTTTGACAACACTCTGAAAATAGAGAAGTGAAAATAATATATAGAATGTCTTCAAGGCAGTTGGACAATTCAACAGAAAATGACAAATTATGCTAAAGTGTGCTCAGCGATTTGTGTAAGGGGACTGAACTCCAAGTTATGGTTGTTATGTGTTTGTTGTTTGTTTTTGTTTCCTCTGTGTAACAGCTCTGACTGTCCTAGAACTCACTCTGTAGACCAGGCTGGCCTCCATCTGCCTGCCTCTGCCTCCCAGGTGCTAGGATTAAAGACACGTGCCATCATCACTTGACACCTTTTTTTAAAAAAGTAATTGTTTATTTTTATTTTATGCGCATTGGTGTTTTGCTTGCATGTATTTCTGTGTGAGGGTGTCAGATCCCCTGCAAATGGAGTTACAGATAGCCATGAGCTGCCATGTGGGTGCTGGGACTTGAACTCAAGTCCCTGGAAGAGCAAGCCGCTAATGTTTTTAACAGCAGCCTGGTGTTTGTTTTGAGACAGGGTCTCACTATGTGGCTCATGAATGCTGGGACTAAAGGCATGCAATAGCATGCCTGGCTTTTTCTTTTTTTAGTGTTTTTTTTTTCCTGATTTTTAATTTTTATTTTTTTTTGAATTAGAAACAAGATTGTTTTACATGTCAATCCCAGTTCCCATTCCCTCCCCTTCTCCCTACCATCTCTCCCCCCCCCCTTTTTTTTGAGTGTTTTTAAACAAGGCAATTTCATGGAACAACAACTTGCCATTAAGGTTTTTTCAAAGTACCAATGCTGGTTTTTTTCCTTTCACCCATTATTCCTCAATGAAAAAATTATTTTAGTTGGGCGGTGGTATTAGCACATGCCTTTAATCTCAGCAACTGGGAGGCAAAGGCAGGTGGATCTCTGTGAGTCCTAGGTCAGCCAGGACTACAAAGTGAGATCCTGTCTCAAAAGAGAAAGAACGAAAGTTAGGGAGGGAGGGAGGGAGGGAGGGAGAGAGGGAGGGAGTTAGTTGATATTTTAGAAGTTCTTTCTAGGTTTGGTGGCTCACAGGTGTAACCTCAGTAAGTGGGAGGCGGAGGCAGCGGGAGAGGAGCAGGCAGGCAGAGGCAGAGGCAGAGGCAGAGGCAGAGGCAGAGGCAGAAGGATCACTGTGAATTCAAGTCAGCCTTGGTTGCAGTGAGTTCCAGGTTAGTCTGTACTTAGGGAGACCTTAAACAACCAAACAAAAACCAACAACCAAACAAAATTTCGCTTACCATTTCATTTTTTTGTTATCGTTTTTTGAGACAGGCTATCCTGGAACTCACTCTATAGACCAGGCTGACCTTGAAATCACAGAGATCCACCTGCCTCTGCCTATTAAGTGCTGACATTAAAGGCACGCGCCACAACTGCAGTTACCATTTCATTTTTGTATTATAGATTTTAGTCAAATAGACAAAACAAGAAAAAAAATGTAGATTTGTCATTATTCAGAGACTTTATGACTGTGAATACAGAAAGTCCAAAAGAATCTATAAATTGTTTTTAAAGATTTATTTATTATGTATACAACATTCTGCCTCCATATATGCCTGCACGCCAGAAGAGGGCACCATATCTCATTACAGATGGTTGTGAGCCACCATGTGGTTGCTGGGAATTGAACTCAGGACCTCTGGAAGAACAGTCAGTGCTCTTTACCTCTGAGCCATCTCTCCAGCCCAAGAATCTATAAATTTAACAAGGTCAATATTAAATTTTTTAGGGGTTGGAGATTGAGGCCCTGGGTTTGACTGATCCTCAGCTCTGGGGAAAAAACAAACAAACCACAAAACAAAAAAGCTAATTTTATTTCTTTGCACTAGGAATATAAAAGGTAAGTTTAATTATTTCATATTCATCAAATATAGGATACTATAGGTATAGTTCAGTGGAAGAGTACTGTGTTTGATCCCACTATTGGGAGAACTAGTAAACACCAGCTATAGAAATAAATCTAATTGCCAAGTCCTGAACCAAAGTTCAGAAAATACTGCTAAGGGAAATTAAGGAAGCCTTAAGTAAATGGAACAATAGGGCATGCTTACTGAAAGACTCAACAATTAACTTTCCCTTAGTGAAGCTGTGGACCAAAACCCCAGTAGAGATCTGTAAACCTGCAAGGTAAACTCTAATGTATATAGAACATAGTGCATATGATGGTGCATGCTAGTTGGGTGTGGCCGCAGGAAGAACACAAAAGCTACAGGCCTACCTCTAATGAGCTGGAGGCCACTAGGAGCCTTTATCAAAATTAAAAGAAAAACAAGAACTGGACATGTGTTGGACAGTAGTTTCTTCAAGACTGAAAAATTTCCTCTTGCAGGGAAGCTCCCTAAGCCAGAAGGTAAATAAGTAAAAATAGTTTCAGGAAGTCCCTGGAGCTGACCAGATACACTAGGTTCCTGCCTTCCAGAGTAAACAATAAAGAGTAAACTCACAGAGAAGCCAAGCTGCAAAGAAGACTGAGATCAGACCAGCTGCCCAAGAGTTTAGAAAAACTGAGTCATTTGGAAAGGACACTCTCCACCTGTTGAGCTGCCAGCAGGCTGTGCAATGTGCTCCAGGTTCCCAACTTTTATGAGCTGTCACCCATGGTGAAGTAAGCTTTGGTTATGCTATCTTTTTTGCTCCTGTAAGTAACCCTAACCCATGTTCTTGTAAGTAATACCTCACTGGTTCAACAAGATGGACTTTGGTGGCATCCATACTTTATTAGTCTGTTGTGGGATCTTTGTCTGGGATGAATATGTGTGTCATGTTTCCCCAGGAAAAATAGTCTTGTCATAAAACAGTAAGAAAAAAGGTAATAAAACTGCTGAGTGGCCAGGCATGGTGGCGTACAACTTTAATCCCAACATTTGGGAGGCAGAGGGGCAGGAGGATCTCTATGAGTTTGAGGCCAGCTTGGTCTACAGAGTGAGTTCCAGGACAGTCAGGGCTACACAGAGAAACTCTGTCCCAAGGAAAAAAAAAACCCAAACCAAACAAACAAACAAAAAACTAATACAACAACAACAAAAACTGTTGAGGGAGCTGGAGAGATGGCTCAGTGGTTAAGAGTTAAGAGCACTAGCCAGTTCTTCCAAAGGACCCAGGTTCAATTCCCAGCCTCCATACAGCAATTCATAACACTAACTCCAGTTCCAGATCTGACATCCTCACATCAATGCACATCATAAAATAAATTATTAAAAAAAAGTTGAGTGTAGTGGTTCATGCTTATAATTCCAGCACTCAGGGGGTTGAGACTGGAGAATTTCCTAGTTGGAGACTAAACTGAGCTTTTGAAGCAAGATACTGCTTGAAAACAAAATTATAAGATATACTTAACTGTATTATATATTAAGTATTAAATAATTAGTTACCTCCAAAGCATTAACATGTATAATAATAATAACAGAAAATTGCCATTTCTGATACCTGGGTTAATATAGTTAAATTTCCTTGTATTAACTGGGGTGATTACAAGTTTGTACCAATTCTTTTTGAATTTTGGATTGCAAATTTCTTTCTTTCTTTCTTTCTTTCTTTCTTTCTTTCTTTCTTTCTTTCTTTCTTTTTTTTTGAGACAGGGTTTCTCTGAGAAGCACTGGGTGTCCTAGAACTATCTCTAGATCAGGCTAGCCTTGAAAACTAAAAAAATCCAAGTGCTTCTTCCTCCCTGCTGGGATTAAAAGTTTGCACAATCAGCATTGATTTGCAAATTTCATTCACTAACCCTACCTATAAAACAACAAGCCCCTTTAAAGGGCTTTCCTTAGTCTAAGGATTACAAGGGCAAAGTGTAAAAGAGTTCATGTTATGAAGGATGGGGCTGTAGCTCAGTTGGCAGGAAGCACAAAGCCCTGGGTTCCATTCTAAACTACTCAGAAAGCAAGCACAAGGGAGACATGCCTAGACCTGTGTGCTCAAATTATAGCTGGCTCCATCAGCAAACAGGGAACTGGGTTCTAGGGCAGCCTGAGTTACGTAATGAGACCCTGTCTCAAAAAAGGGTTGAACAAGGAAATAAAGCAACTAAAACAGAAAAAGAGAAAAGAATGCTGATACTTACTGTGCTCCAAGAAAGCCAGAAAAATTCTCATTTGTAAATACTACTCCAAGATACCCTCAGACCCCTACATTAAAAATACTGCACCTTTACCACCTGCTGGTGGCGTCCTGGGCTTGTAATTCCAGCCCTAGGGAGGCAGGAACAGGAGAACTCTGAGTAAAGGGCAGGCTGGTCTACGGAGAGAGTTTCAGGGCAGGCAACCAACCAAAACAAAACAAAACAACCCCCCCCCCCAAAAAAAAACCCTGCACTTTCATCCAATCTCAATTTGAACTTCATCCTATGTTGGGCAATACTGGGTACTGAATCTAGGAACTCACTCACTGATACAACACCAACACAAGTTCAAATCTTTTATGACTTAAGTTTCTTTTGGCTGGGATTCAAGAATAACCCTATTTGTAAAAGCCGTTTCCTGGTTTGTTGTGGTGCTGGGTCGAAATCGAACCCAGGACCAGGACCTTGGGTATGTCAGGCA